GGGGCAGCCAGGAGGGGGGGACGGGGGCAGCCAGGACGGGGCGGCCTGGGGGGCAGTCGGCGGGACAGGAGGGGGCAGCCAGGAGGGGGCGGCCTGGGGGGCAGTCGGCGGGACAGGAGGGGGGCGGCCTGGGGGGCAGTCGGCGGGACAGGAGGGGGGCGGCCTGGGGGGCAGTCGGCGGGACAGGAGGGGGCGGCCTGGGGGGCAGTCGGCGGGACAGGAGGGGGGCAGTCAGGACGGGGCGGCCTGGGGGGCAGCCAGGACGGGGCAGCCTGGGGGGCAGCCAGGACGGGGCGGCCTGGGGGGCAGTCGGCGGGACAGGAGGGGGGGCAGTCGGCGGGACAGGAGGGGGCGGATGCTGGCTCTCCACCTGCTCAGAGAGGGTCCGGAGAAGCGGGCCTCTGAGCGGGCGGGGACCTGGGCTGGAGCAGGAGGGGGAGACGTCTCAGCCTGCTGTGACCCAGGACCTTCAGTCACAAAGCCTCCCGCAGGGCAAGGTCTGTTGCTCAGGCACAGCCTGCGGTGGGCGCGGAGCTGTCTTCTCAGCACCAAGCAGCCGCGGCTCCACCGGGACGCGCCCTCCGCCACCCCGCCCAGCCCTCCTCCTAGCCCGGGAGCAGGGAGGGGGAGGGGGAGGCGCCACCCGCACTGGCAGGGGCACGGGGCCGCAGGAACCGAGCAGGAGGGACTTGGGGGTTCACACCCAGGGCAGGGAGGGCTGAGAGGGCAAAGTGGTGGGCGCAGTTGGCAGACGGGCACCTGGCGGCACCTGCGGGCTGCAGCGGGTGCTCTCCCTGGGCACCCCTCTCGATGACACCCGAGGGCTTCCCCTCCCCCTCCCCAGCCTCAGGACCACCACCAGGGGCTCTGGGCCCCAGCCGCCTCCTGCGGGCCCCCCTGGGGATGGAGCCCGCAATCCGGGCGCGCGCCCTGATGGGAACGGAACCGCGACCTCCGCTCCTGGGTCCAGGCTCAGCCACGGAGCCGCCGGCCGGGCAGGGTTCTGGGATCGCAGACACGGAGGGCACTGTCCACGGCCACGGGGCGGGTCCGGGCAGAGCCAGGTCTGGCCGAGGCGCCTGCACGTCCGTGTGGCTGAGTTTCCACGGCTGCTCTCCCCTCTGTTGGCTGCAAGCACGGGCTTTGTAAGCACAGCTTTGGGTCTGACCCCACACCTGGAGGCCCTGGGGGAGGCCCACGCTCACCCAGCCCTGCCGCTCGGAGAGGGGCCCGGAGGTGAGGGGGTGGGGACCCTGCAGGGGACCCCGCCTGGGCGGCCAGCTGCCTGGAGCACCCCGGAATGAGGGCATCCTACTCCGGAGCACCCGCCTGGGCCCCGGGCGGCTCAGAGCGGGCGGGGAGGGGTGCCCCGTGGCCATCCCTGCCAGCGGGCACGGTGCCCTGGGCCACCCTCCCAGCCCGCCCAGCTGTGCTCCAGGACCCGGAAACAGCCTGACCCCGACCCCGACCCCATCTCCCAGCCGACCCCACTCCTGCCCGGCAGGCAGCCATGCCAGCCTCTGGCCTGGGACCCGCTCCAGCCTGGGGACAAAGCGCTCACCGGGGTCTCGGCCGGCAGCCCCGACGGGCAGTGGGCCCCGCTGCCTCCGGGCCTTCGCCATGGTTACGGCCCACCCACGGCTCTGCTCAGAGCGGGCATTGTGCGGGCGCCGAGCGTGGCGAGCGCCCAGGAGCCTGTGGGCACAATGGCCCTGGAGCAGAGCCCTTTCCCACGCTCCGGCCGCTCCGCAGTGGGGAAACTGAGGCTGGAGGAGTGCTGATGGAGCCGGCTGCCCGGGCGGGTGGAGGCAGAGCCGTGGCACAGAGCCCGGGGGAGCCACGCTCTGCAGGGGGCACCACCGCGGTGAACCGTGGACACCCCATCAGCACTGCAGCCTCACCAGCTCCCTCCGCCTCTCTCCCGCTCAGCGGACACCCTCGCCCCCAAACCTCTGCTCCCACCACTCTGCCCCCGTGCCCTCAGCTCCATCACGGGCACAAGTCTCCCCCGTGAACTGTCCCCCTCCCTCTCCTCCCACCCAGCGCAGGGGCACCTCCCCTCAGCCCTGCCCAAGCCCAGGCCAGCTTCCCTTTGGAGGTGTGCCCCCCCCCCCGCACGCTGGTCTTGGGGTGCAGCGATCCCGGGCTCTGCCTCCCCCTGAGGCCGAGGGCTGGAGGGCCCCGAGGCACCCTCTCCCTCCGAGGGACGGGGCGCCAGGGCAGCCCTCCCTCACACCAGAGCGATGGCAGCAGCAGGCGCGGGAAGGTGGGTGCTGCCTGCCGCCCGGGAAGCAGTGGACACCGGGTGCCAGGAGCTGGGGGAAAGGCCGGCCCAGACCCAGGGCACCTCCTGGCGAACAGAGCCGCTCCCATCTCGGGTTTAAAGGTCCCGGAGGCCTGGCTGCTCACAGCCTCAGTGAACAGACAGAGGCTGCCCCCTGGTGGAGGTGCTGGGCCCGGTGGGCGCAGCCGTAGGGCCTCGGCGCTGGGGCTGCTGTGGTTCAGAGCGGGGCCCCTCCCCATGGGGAGCCGCTCTTCAGGCCCCTCGGCCCCGGCAGCCGGGGGCCAGGGACCCGCTGGTTAGTGGAGAGGGGCCTCGGGCCTGACACACACCCACCGGCCCTCCACCCCTCACCCCACAGGCTCGGACCCCAGCCCGCCCACGTCCGGCTGCCCACAGCCCACCACCTGGGGCCACTCTGACCCCACCCGCCCAGCCTGGCCTGGGAGCCCGCTGGTCCCTGGGGAGACGGGACCGAGGCCCAGCCCTGGACCCTGCGCCGTGTGGGGGACCCTGCGCCGTGTGGGGGACCCTGCGCCGTGTGGGGGACTGTTTCTGGGCCCCTAGACACTCGAGGCTTCTGGGTGTCACCGGCACCTGGGCCCCCCAGCGCGCAGGGAGACGGGAGCCTGGTGCTGGCTTCTGCTGGCTGTGGGCACAGGCCCCCTCTTCCCAGGGGAATAAGGGTCTGTGGGCCCCTGGGCACCCACCACCCTCTGGCTGAGGCGCCCGAGTGCCTCTGTATTAGGCGGTGCCCTTGGCTCCGGCTGGAGCAGCTCCAGGGGCCGGCTCGGCAGGTGCCCCGGGGCCAGCAGCCTGGCGAGAGGAGCCGGCAGCCCGGGGGAGCCACGCTCTGCAGGGGGCATCGGGAATGAGGGCCCGTCCCAGAGGCCCAGTCCTCCCCTCCCCCCCTCGCTGTGGGCTCCGCCACAGACACGCACATCTCAGGGTCACGGAGGCGTGCCTGGCACTGCTGCAGGGCGGCTCCCCTCTCGGGCCAGGCCAGGCCGCTCCCGCCTCCTCGGGGTGTTTTCCGAAGCGCTGGGTTTTTCCTCTCCTCCCGCTGCCAACACTGAGTCCCCCTCCTGCCCCGCCTTCCGCCTTCCCAGCCTGAGGGCCAGGCCTGCATCTTCCTTCCCGCCCCCAGCCAGCGAGCGCTGGCTTTTTCCAAAGACGGCCTCACACCAAGGTGCCCACCGGAGGGACAGCCTGTGCGGGCAGCTCCCGAGAAGGCCCACGTCAAACGCTGCAGAAGGTTCTGGTTGCAGCACGAGGGCTGAGCACCCAGGCTCCTGAGAAACGTGAGGCTTGAGCAGCACCTCAGCTGCTCCGGCCTCAGTGTCCCCATCTGGGAAATGGGCCCCAGAACCCCAGCCTGCAGGTCCGGGCTTGGCCCTGACCCCACAGGAGCCTGCTGCACTGTTCCCACACTGGCCGGCCTTCTCTGGGGGGAACCAGGCCAGGACAGCGTCAGGGGCCGAGGCCCCTCCCAGGGACAAGGGCCCATCAGCGGAACGATGGGCGGGGGGAGGGGGGGGGCAGCTGCAGGAGAAATGACCCCCGGAGCGATTTCCCGACACGAACCCATCGCCTGAGCAGACGTGAGGCGGGTGCTGAGCCCCCAACCTCCTCTTGGGGGGAGGCAGAGGGACAGGCTCCCCCGGGGGAAGCCAGCCCACTCCCCCGGGGCGGCCCCCAGCCGGGCACCTCCACCAGCCCCTCTCACAGCTCTGCCCGGGAAACCTTCTTCCAGAAGCGCAGACGGCCCAGGGCCGCCGCCTTGAAACCTCACGCTGACGCCCACTTGGAGAGTCTGTGGCCCGGTTTTGAAACCAGAATATTCTGGAAATCTACCGGCAGCACGGTACGGCCACAACAGACCAGCGCACGGCACAGCTCCGTCCGGCGTCCACTCCAGTCTGTGGCCCCTGCTCTGAAATAGGGGACCTGCCAGGTGGGCTCTGTGGACAGAGCGTTGGCCCAAGGGCTGAAGGGTTGGGGGTTCGATTCCGGTCCAGAGCATGCACCTGGGTTGCAGGCTGGGTCCCCAGGACTGTGTGCGGGAGGCACCCATCACTGTGCCTCTCACTTCACTGCTTCTCTCTCCTCCCTTCTCCTCTAAAAAATGCCCTCGGTGAGGATTCACCAAAACAAATAAAATGAGATAAAGGGGTTCATCTCAGCCTGGCTCTCTGGCACCTTCCGGGGGAAGCCGGGGTCCCTCAGCAGGATGGGACCCTCAGCCGTGCGGGACCCTCAGCGGTGCGCGGGGGGTGGGGGGGAGGGAGTGGCAGGACCCTTAGGGGTGCAGGACCCTCAGCGGTTTGGGACCCTCAGCGGTTTGGGACCCTCAGCGGCGCAGGGGGGGGAGCGGCAGGACCAGCCTGAGGTGGTGCCCTCGCCTGCCCACCAGGTCCTGTGAGGGTGCAGCCGAGGGCTCTGGGCTCTGCACGGGCCTCCTGTCCAGACAGCCAGGCTCCGGGCGTGGGGGACGGCAGGTGCCGCGGGGAGGCCGGTCTCCCCGGGGGTGCCCTGGCCACAGCCTGTGCCCTGATCCCAACGGAGCGGGGCCTCCTTTGTGCTGAGGGCCAGGACCCACCCCACCACCGGTGACGTCTCTGAGCATGAACATGGCCGTGACGCAGCTCAGAGCCCTACTGTGTGCCCTTCCTGTGCGCTCTCCTCGCTGCACCCGAATGACCACACGAGCAGGCGGCACAAGCAGATGTAGCATTTACTCTGACCTTCCCTCCTCCTATCTCCTATTAAATATCAGAAATATATTAATCTTAAAAAACACTATTCACAGTTCTGGCTGAGCACAGCCCCAGAGGGAACAGAAGTCTGAGTGCAGAATCGCAGGTCATTTTAAAACCGGAGCGTGGAGCTGCCCGCGACAGACACCGTGGGCTTCTCTGCCCTCGAGGCTGGGGCGACACGAGGCCACAGAAGGCGCGGTGCAGCCCAGCTCATCCCCGGATGACAGCGAGGCTCAGGAGCCATCCCTGCGTCTGACTGTCCCGCGTCTGGCCGTCCCCGTGTCTGAATGTCCTCACATCTGACTGTCCCAGGTCTGGCCGTCCTGGGTCTGGCCATCGCGGGGCTGGCCGTCCCCACGTCTTACTGTCCCGATGTCTGGCCATCCCGTGTCTGACCGTCCCGTATCTGGCCATCCTGGGTCTGGCCATCCCGTGTCTGACCGTCCCGTATCTGGCCATCCTGGGTCTGGCCATCCCGTGTCTGACCGTCCAGGATCTGGCCATCCTGGGTCTGGCCATCGCGTGTCTGACCATCCAGGATCTGGCCATCCTGGGTCTGGCCGTCCCCGTGTCTGTCCCCCTGTGTGACCATCCTGGGTCTGGTCGTCCCCGTGTCTGTCCCCCCGTGTGACCATCCTGGGTCTGGCCGTCCCCGTGTCTGTCCCCCCGTGTGGCCATCCTGGGTCTGGCCGTCCCCGTGTCTGTCCCCCCGTGTGACCATCCTGGGTCTGGCCGTCCCCGTGTCTGTCCCCCCGTGTGACCATCCCGGGTCTGGCCATCGCGTGTCTGACCGTCCCGTATCTGGCCATCCTGGGTCTGGCCATCGCGTGTCTGACCGTCCCGTATCTGGCCATCCTGGGTCTGGCCATCGCGTCTGACCGTCCCGTATCTGGCCATCCTGGGTCTGGCCATCCCGTGTCTGACCGTCCGGGATCTGGCCATCCTGGGTCTGGCCGTCCCCGTGTCTGTCCCCCCGTGTGACCATCCTGGGTCTGACCGTCCCCGTGTCTGTCCCCCCGTGTGACCATCCTGGGTCTGACCGTCCCCGTGTCTGTCCCCCCGTGTGACCATCCTGGGTCTGACCGTCCCCGTGTCTGTCCCCCCGTGTGACCATCCTGGGTCTGACCGTCCCCGTGTCTGTCCCCCCGTGTGACCATCCTGGGTCTGACCGTCCCGTGTCTGTCCCCCCGTGTGACCATCCCGGGTCTGACCGTCCCGGGTCTGTCCGCGGCAGTGGTGGCGGCAGGGGCTCAGTCCCTCAGCAGGCTCTCGGGCTTGGGGTAGCCGAAGAGCACGAAGTCGGCCTCGTAGAGCTTGTACAGCTGCTGCCGCCAGGCCAGCGGGATCTGGGCGAACCAGCCCTCCTCCCAGCTGCTGGCGGTGCGGTTCCGGTAGCTGGGCGGGAAGTGCAGCCGCCGGTCCACGCCCAGCAGCCGCAGCAGCTGCGCGGCGTCCCGGTCCAGCGTCTCCAGCTTGCCCACGAAGTCGTACTCGATCTGGCAGGGGTGGCAGAGCCGGTGCACCTGCCGCCAGTGCTCGTTGAAGGGCGCGCGCCGCTCGGTGCGCGGGTCCAGCAGGTACTGGATGAAGTTGGCGAAGGACACGCGCAGCCCGGCGCCGAAGGCCTCGCGCACGGAGGCGGGCGGGCTGGTGCGGTTGGCGTAGGCGCGCAGCATGGGCACGGCGAACCTGCGGTAGAACTCCTCGTTCTCCAGCTCGAACTTGCTGCGGAAGGCGGAGATGAGGCGCACGAAGGGGTCGCGCACGAACAGGAACTTGGTGTACTTCTTGAGCTTGACCTTCATGAGGTGGCGCGAGAGCTTGCCGTAGCGGCGCCAGAACTTGCTGAAGGTCAGGTGCGTGCTGGAGTTGTGCACGAACTCGCGGGGGATGGCGAGCGGGTCGCGGTAGGGCGCGCCGCGGCCCGGCCGGCTGCCGCTGAGCACGATCATGACGCGCTTCCAGTTGGTGCAGGCGGCCTTGGGCACGTAGCAGTAGATGACGCCGTGGCGGTCATCCACGATGAGGTGGTTCAGCTCGTAGCTGGGGATGTCGTCGAAGGAGCGCTCCTTGGCGGGGAAGGCGAGGCTGGCGTTGGCGCAGAAGTCCCGCAGCAGGCTCCGGCGCGCGGCCTGCTCGTCCGGCTCCGGGCCGGGCTCGGGGCCCGGGGCCCGGCTGGACCAGTCGTAGCCCCGCACGCTCTCCTCGGGACCGCCCTCGGGGCCCGGCGGGGGCTCCGTCCTCCTCTGGGGGGCGCCCAGCAGCTTCTCCAGGAACTCGTCCACCTCGGCCGGGAGGGCCCGCCCGGCGCTGGGAGGGGGCCCGGGCGGGTGCGGCGGGGACAGGGCCGTGTGCAGGTAGAAGTGGGCGGTGCCCACGCTGTCCCAGTACACGATGATCAGCAGGATCATGACCACGGAGCCCAGCGCCAGCCACAGGCGGAACGGCCGCGCCTTGGCCATCCTGCCGACGGCCCACGCCTCACTCCGGCTTCATGGGCGCCCACGCTCGGGAGCTGCAAGGCAAGGCAGAGCCGTTAGCGCCTCGGCCCGCATCCTGGGCCGGTCAGTGCTGCCCGTCCGTCCTCCAGGTCCTCCTCCTGGGGCGTCTGGCTCCCTCCCCCTCCCCCGGCGCAGGCTCCCTCCGGAGCTGGGCTCCTCCGGGTCACGGGACCAGAGGAGCGAGTGTGACTGGCGGGTGACCCTGAGAGGAAGGCGTCCGAGCGGCCATGGGCGGGACGGGCAGCCAGTGAGGAGCGGGACCAGGAGGCAGCAGGCCTGCCCCACCTCCTCCTCTGGAAGGGGCGGGAGCTTCCTGAGATGGAAGGGAAACCGTTTGAAAGGAAAAAAAGAGGGAAAGGAACCTAAAACGTCAGTGACTATTGAGTTGGGTTTTCAAGGTCAAGGCTCACAAGCAGGGAGAAGAGGGGTCAGCCAGGGTCTCCGCGAGGACACAGCCCAGGCGGCGCCCCGAAGGCCAAGACCCGACCGCACACCTTCGCTCACGGTTCAGCCACGAAGGTGCGTGCGCAGCCGCCTGTCCCAGCCCCGACCACTGCAGCCTAAGGACAGCCACAGGGACGGCACCAGCGATCGCAGCACCACCTCAGCCAGCGGCCTCCTCTCCGGGTGTGAGGCCCTGAGCCGGCGGGTCTGCCGAGTGGCCTGGCCGTCTCTCCCGGCCTGGGCGCCGGTGCCTCTGCTTGGAGCTGCAGCGGGGAGGCCAGTCGCAGCCCCACGGCCCAGGGCACGGCGCTCCCGCCAGCTGCCCTCACGCCCATCCATCCCAGCCTCCAGCACGGCGGCTGTGCCCGCTCCCGGCTCTCAGTGCGGCGGCCAGGCCTGCGCTCCTTAGCGGGGACCCCCCACGTGCTAAAACGGAGACCACCAGGCCCCGGGGGACCCACACAGCCAACCACCGCCCCGGCCGCCCGAGGGCCGGTGAGCGGAGCGGTGCCGGGGCCGGGTCCACCTGATGCAGCTGCCGGTCTCACCAGACGCTCGGTCTGGTGACCTTTGTTTCTGAGAATCTGCCTCTTGCCCAGCGCCCCAACTTCTGAGCCTGAGCCAGGGACACGCGCTGTGTTAAGAGGGCGAGAATGTTCCGGGTTCTACTGGTTCCTGCCGCTGGTGGGAGGCGGGTGCGAGGCTGCAGTCGCAGGGGCACCGGCAGCGACGTGGAAAGTTTCCGTTTGTGGCCTTGGCCGCCCACCGGCCCTGCTGCCCGCGGAGCCGGTGCCGAGGTGAAGCCCCAGCCGTCGGGAGCCGGTGTCCGCCCTCCACGCCCCGACGAGGCCACGCGAGAACAGTAAGGGGCCACGTGATGAGAGGGGAAGGTGCCAGCGTCCAGGAGACCACGGAGATTCCCCCTCCACCGCTGCCCTGGCCCCACCCCACTCCCCCCGCAGAAGGAACGTCAGAGCACGCCCCGTCCCCACTCCCAAACTGGATCCCCGTTCTCAGGAGACGGGACCACGTCTACGAAATGGCCCACTCCTCCAGGATCGAGCAGCCGATGCGTGGCATCTGACGCTGGAACCCAAAGAACTCTTCTCAGACTCAAGTCTATTCTGAGATTGATTTCAGGGTAAAACGATGATGATAAATGTCACCGTGACAGAGGCTCGCCTTAGGATGTACGCCTCCACCCCAGCCCTGGCCACACTCCAGCTGACCACACAGGCCACGGCCTCCCTGCCTCTGCGCACGCCCCGTGGATCACTGGAGCCACCGGCTCCCCGTGTCCTGCCGGCGTACAGCGACCTGTGACGGTCCCCCTGGCCCCCCACAGCCACAGGGCCTCCCTATGCATCCACAACCCTGACCGGCCCCGGCCCCCCGGGGCAGGCTCTGTCCCCTGTGGACCCCTCTCTCCCTCCTGACCTCTGCTCACAGCTCACCCCCTCAGGGAGGCCACCCAGGTCACGCCCCACCTGCTCCCCTCTTCTCCAGGTCGCCTCCAGCACCAGTCACTGGTCAACCCACCCCCAGCTCTGCCTGAGAAGAGAAGCCGTGGAAGGAGGCCCTTAGCTGACCAGTCAGCACAGCTGCCCCCTTGAGGCTTAGAATCATGCTGGCACCCAGGAGGTGCTCAAAAAGGAGCTCTTATGCTGCCCTGGCCAGTGCGGCTCAGTGGTTGGAACATCGCCTGCACACGGAAAGGTCTCAGGTCTCGGATTCAATTCCTGGTCAGGGGCATATACCTGGGTTGCAGGTTCCATCCCTGCCCATCGGGGCAAGTGTGGGAGGCGACCAATCGATATGTCCCTCTCTCCCCCCCTCTCCCTCTTCTCCCCACTCTTCCCCCCCCCCCCCCCCCCCCGCCTTCCACTTTCTCTGAAAACCAACGGAACAAACATCCTCGGGTGAGGATTGACACAACAGACCCAGAGAAACACGACCGACCTGATTTCACAATCTCTGAAGCGGGTGGCGGGTGAAGGGCCGAGGTGCCGTCCCGGCTTCCGTCCGCAGCGTGTAGCCCTCACAGCGAAAGGAAAACACGCTGGAGGAAGGGCCAGCTCTGCCGTGACCGGCCCGGACAGCGGACAGAGCGCCGAGCCGCGGGGCCGGGCCTGACTCCTCTCCCAGGGCGTTCCCCACGCTCCGTCTGCTTCACCAGCGGGAGGCATCTGTTTCGGATTCAGTCCTTCTGGGGGGGATCACGGAACAGCAGCCCCGCCCTTCCTCCCCGGGCCCCGCTGCTCCGGCCGCCTCCACCCTCCACCCTCCACCCTTCTCCCCATTCTTTTCTGCGGAATCTTTGGGTTTCTCCTGAGGAGCAGCCCAGGGCGATAGCAACTATTGGGTTTGGTGTGGCCGCCACTGCCCACTGGGCGGGTGGCAGGCTCTTTCCCTGCTGGCCCCACAGCCGGCCCGGCCACCTGCTCCCAGGCACGTGGTCCCTGCTGCTGGCTCCCCTCAGGGCTGGGAGGGTCCCGGGGGAGGGCTGTCCTGGGGCGGCGCACCCCGCATGTCCCCGCTCCCCACAGCGGCTGATCTTCCCGGGGCCGGTAGGACGGGCCTCCTCTGCCGTGTGGACATGTCCTCCTGGCAGCCCGCCCTCGGCAGCTGGGCCTCCTCTCCCGCTCCGCTGCCCGGCGCCTTCACTTCACCGGCTCCGGCCCCACCTTCCGCCACCTTCCGCGTGCGAGCGGCCTGGCAGCCGGCCCAGCCTCTCAGCTCAGCTGGGAGACCCTCTCCGCCTTTCCTTTAATGTTTTTATTGATTTTTGGAAGAGAGGGAGAGACTGAGACAGCAGTGAGAGCATCCATCAGCTGCCACCCGCACAGCCCCATGGGGACCAAGCCCCAGCCCAGGCTCCTGCCTGGACCCGGAATGGTGACCTCCTGGCTGCCAGCGGCCCCACCGAGCTCATTCCCGTCCGAGGGCTCTCTCTGTGGCCTCTGCTCCCTCCTCAGCGCCCTGTCCCTGTGCTGGGGTGTTCCTCTTCCTCTGTCTCCACGTGTGCGTTAGTGACGGCTGCTGCTCACCCCCCAGTGTGGCGAGGCCCCTCTTCCACACCAGGCTCTCTGCTCCTGGTTACGGGTGGGCGGGTGGGCGGGGACTACAGAACTTGGAAGCTTTGAACCCGGGGACGGGAGGGGGTCAGTAATCACATCCTCATCAGCCAGCGCTCCAGCTGGGCCTGCAGCACCCTCCCCGCTCCCCCTCCACGGGGTGCCTCCTGCCGGTTACACAGCAGCTGCAGAACAGGCCCTGCTGACGGAGGAAGCATTGCCTGTCCGGTCCGTTACTGGAGCCCTCTGTGCGCCCATCACCGGAGCGGCCAGCCGGCCACTCGGTGTGACCCCCGGCTCCTCCCTGGAGACGATGCCCCAGAAAGGCACCGGCAGAGGGTGGGCCGAGCGGCAGGAGCGCGGCCACAGGAACAGCCGTGCCCCCGGGGTCCCGGGAAATGGCTCAGGAAAGTGGGAGTCCCTCCCTCCCGCCCGCCCGGGGCCCCTGCCCCTGGCCCGCTCAGGAGGCCCAGCCCAGACCTTCCCAGAAGGCTGGCCCGCAGCTCGGGAAGGTTCTGGCGCCCGAACCCGCGGGTGTCCCCGCCAGCAGCTCCGCCGGTTTCCGCCCACGCCCTGCACCCGCTCTCGGTTCCGCTTTCTTCCCGCCCCCCCCCCCCCGCTTCCTCCCCGGGGTCTCCCGCTCCGCTCCCGCTCAGTCCCCTCCACCTCCCGCCACATCCCGCCGGAATCCCGCACTCCAGGCCCCGGCTCCCGGCCCGGCCTCCACCCGCCCACCGAGGGCCCAGGCCCGGCCCGGCGCGCCCTCCGCCTCCCTCCTCCAGGCCCGGCGCCACGGCCGCCGGCCCCGCCCGCGGCGGGCAGCGATCCTGTTTGTGCCGTGAAGAGCGGGGCGCAGAGGGCCGGGGAGCGGGAGCCGAGGGCGGGAAGCGGGGAGCCGGAGCCCGGAGCCCAGAGCCGGGGGCCGGGGGCCGGTTTGCTGGGCGCGGACCCTCCGGCAGCTCCGGGCGGCGCTGCAGCCACAGCCCTTTCCGCCCGCGCCGCCCGGGCCGCCTGGGTCCGGGGACGAGCCCGGTGTCCCGGCTCCACGGAGGCGGCCCGGACCCCGGGCTCGGAGCACGCACAGGAAGCGAATGACGGGGCCGCACCCACAGCGGCCCGGGCCCCGCGGGCCTGCGAGCGGGCGGCGGTCCTGCGGGGGCCGCGCTCCCCGCCGGCCCCTCAGCCGCGGGCGGGACCAGAGAGGCTGCGGGCCCGGCCAAGGTCACACAGCGCCCCGCGCCCCGCGCCCCGCGCCCCGCGCCCCGCGCCCCGCGCCCCGCGCCCCGCGCCCCGCGCCCCGCGCCCCGCGCCCCGCGCCCACACTCACCTGGCGCCGCCGCCGCCTCCGGCCCGCGGACCCTCCCGCCGCCGCCCCTGCCGGCCCCGCCCCCCGCGCGCAGCCCCGCCTCCCGCTCTTCTCGCGAGAAGCCGCGACCCGCTGAGGGGCCACGGCGGCCGAGGGGCGCCAGCCCGGAACGCGCCTGCGCCCTGCGCGCCGCCGCCGCCCCCCCGCCGCTGCCATGTGGCGCCGTATTTACGGCCGGCGGCCCCGCCCCCTTCCGCAGCAGCCAATCCTGTGCTCCGGGGCGCGGCGTTGGCTCCGCCTCCAGCGGGTCTTCTCTCCCGCCCGCCCCTCTCCCCCGTGGGCGCGAGAAAGGACGTGGGGTCCGCGATCCGGCTGCCCGGCCGCTGGGCCCCGCGCGGCGCTGCAGCCACGCGGTCCCGGCCCGCTAACCGCGTGCAGGCGACGCCTCTGCCCGCCGAGGACCCGGTGCTCCCAGCCGAGCCCTGCACCCGCCGTGCAGCCTGGCGAGGGCCTGCACCTCTCTGAGCGCCCCAAGTCCATCCCTTCCCAGGGACTGGGAGACCAGCGAGGGGCCGCGCTGAGCAAGATGCACTGCAACCGCTGTTCTTAGTGTGGACCGCGTTCTTTTAATTGTGGTGAATGCACACACATAAAGGTTACCGTCTTAACCGTCTTTTAACGTGCGGGTCAGTGGCATTAAGTCCAGAAAGTGTCCAATCAGCGATGTTTTCCATGTTCCTCCCAGGGGACAGCGCGGGCTGTCTTCTGATGGAAGGAAGGCCGTGGTGTGTGTTTAAATATACAATATATTTTTATTGATTTCAAAGAGGAAGGGAGAAGGAAAGAGACAGAAACATCATTGGTCGGCCGCCTCCCGCACGCCCCCACTCTGGGGATGGAGCCCGCACCCGGGGGCGTGTGCCCTGATGGGAATGGAACTGTGACCTGCTGGTTTATGGGTGGACCTCAGCCACGGAGCCACATCAGGCCAGGCCTGAATCGTTCACTTTAAAATGGTGTTTTATCATGTAGATTTCACTTCAGTTTTTAAAACACACAATTCTTACATTAGCAACATCCCCACATGTTAACGTAAGTCCCTGCCACAGCTACTCCTGACCTCCTCACCTCCAGTTAAGGCAGCGAAGCTCTGAGGAGTAAGCCAACCAGCCACAGGCACCCCACCAGGGGGTGACAGCGTCTGGGCCCAAAGCCAGATTGGCTCCGGCTCCGGAGCCAGAGGTCACGCACTGCAGAGAGCCTGGACCAAGGAGGGCCGTCTGAGGGCCTGTGAGCAGGCGCTCCGCCCTGGGCATCCCCATCATGACTTCCCCTCCCCCTCTTCGTGGCCCAGAGCTCCTTCAAGCTGGGGGACCCCGAGGGCTGCCTTTCCCCAGCCCTCCACCCCCCCCCAGGACCCCCGGGTCCCTGTGCAAAGGCTGCGGCCGCCCCCCCTCTGTGCTTAGTCTGAGCTATTGTGACGTCCCCAGCAGAGGCACCCAGCTCTGGTTTCATAACTCGAGTTGCAAGAGAAAAGACAGAGTTACGAGGCCTGGGCCAGGGGTGTCAGTGCCGCAGAAGAGGAATGGGAGGTGCTGCTGCTGGGGTGCTCGGTACTGTCCCCCAGGAAAAGGACCCACCGAGCAGAGGTCTGAGAGTTGCAGGCTCGCTCGCCTCCTTCGCATGCAGGTGGTGGGAGAACCCAAGCGAACGGACAGGAACTCGGAGCCGGGCCCCCGGCCCGCCAGGTCCACGGCTGTTGCAGAGGTTGCTTGCGGGAGGTGTGGTCCTGGGCGAGGCAGGAAGCTGGCCGATGGGTCAACCACATGCGACAATGGCAGCTGCTTCTGTTCCCGTATCTTTCTCCCCCCAAAGAGGAAGGGAGAAGGAGGGAGGGACAGAAACACCCCTGATGAGAGAATCATGGACCGGCTGCCTCCGGCACACCCCACACTAGGGATGGAGCCCACAACCTGGGTCTGTGCCCTGACCGGGACTCAACGGTGACCCCCTGGCTCACAGGTCGATGCTCAACCACTGAGCCACCCGGCCGGCTCCTCTCCCGTTTGATGCTTCAGACCGGCAGCCGCCAACCTTTCTGGCCTCACAGACTGGCTGCTGCTTCAAACGACCCCCGGGGCCCTGGGCGGCCCCGCAGGCGGAGGAGGGCAGGAGGTGGGGGTCCTGGCCTCTTCTGCTGGGGGGCCTGCTGGACCTCCCTCCTTCGTTCTGGTGAGCAGCGCCCCAGCGCCCCCAGCAGGGGTGGCCTAGCGGCGGCCGAGCCTGCAGAGCTGAGAAAGGTGAGAAACGGCAGCTCCATCTCTGGAACCAGGGGCTGTGCCCTTTTCCGTTTGGGCGAATGCTCGGACTCTCAGGACACACGTAAAGCTTCGGCAAAGAGGCCTGGCACCTGGCACCTCTGTGGAGCAGGTGGTCCAGGCCCCGGGTCCTGGGAAGCCCTCCCGCCCAGCGTGGTCCGGCCCAAAGCAGACCCTGCGGGGGGGGGGGGGGGTGAGGGGGTGGAGTTGGTGGAGGAGCATGTGAGGGAGGGAGACAGGTAGGAGGGGACAGCCGGAGGCGGTGCTTCCTCATCAGATCACCCTGGGGGGGGGGGGCTGCTGGGCCTCAGTCCTCCGAATGGACCCCCAGAGTGGGGAGGCTGGCTCATCCGGGGCAGGGGCTGGGGAGGGAGGCCGCCGGGGCTGTGACATCCCAGCTCCTTCCGGCTGCTCTGCACAGACGGCTTCCTGCCTGGCTCACCTGGACCAGGTGCACAGAGGGGGCGGGCGGGGCACCCGGTGGCCCTCCCAGCCTGCTCCAGGGTCCAGGACCCGGCGCCTTGCCCACGCCACCCGCTTTCCCCCGCAGCTCTAGCAGACGCTCAC